ACTCTTATTTTAATAATATTATTAAATAATTTAAATTATTAAGCATTTTTATTCTAGTAGTGTAGAAATATTTAATGATGTCAAATTTTATTAGAGTGTTTTTTGTAGATGTGGTTCTCAAATTAAATTTTGTTTGAAATGAATATATATATAGGTTATGATCCATTTATATTGTGTAAAATTATTTTAGTTTTATCCTTTTAGGATCGTTGGAACGAGAGAAAGTAAAGATTGAATTTACCTCCATGTTTTTTTCCTAGTGAATACATGTATATAATAATAATTATTCGAAAAATTTAATCATTTGATGATAAATATTTAAATACATCTACGGATGATATATCCAATTAAATCTCAAAAAATAATGATTATTCTTTTAAATATCACTGAATTCTTTTAGTTCGTACAAATTCTACGTGTTAAAACATATATTTGATTGAAAATAATTAATATACATATATAATAATTTAATGTAATTTAACGTATGTTTTGGACCGTATTCGGCCAGCAGGATCTATCAGCGGCAAACTAAAAGAATCAACTTTACTATAAAAAAGACAAGGAATTGATTAAACACGAGCACACAAACAAATCAATACAAAGAACGAAAATTCTCACCCATTTCCACGAAGCTTCTTTCTTCAGAAAAACCCAAACTTTCTTTTCAAATATCTTTAATCTTTTGCTTTTGTTTCATTTCATCTTCCTTATAGGAAACAAAAGGAAGTAAACAGATATACAGTGAGATTAAAACTGAAAGTTCAACGTACGAGGTTTGATTTCAGGGTTTTGGGTTGTTTCGATTATTTTTTATTTTTGCTTTTCTCGGAAGCCAAAGAGGTTGAGTTTGGAAATAATGCAAACGAGGTACGTGGAAGGGTCGAAAAGTATGGCGTCGAGAGAGAAGAGATGTTTGGATTCCCCGAGTTCTGGAGATGAAGGACCTGATAGGAAACGTCCAGCTCTTGCTAGGTGTATCTTTCTCTCTTTCTTTTACTCTCTACATTATATATATATACATGTTTGTGTATATGTCTGTGTGTGTATACATATCACTTCACCAACTATATTATGCCAACAAGATGAAATGTGGCATGGATGTTGGTGCAGTTGCATAGTCTTCGCTGAAAGAACCATACATACTCGTGTGGGGAAGACGATGAGTGTCACTTATAAAACTCTTTTTATTGGGTACTCAGATATCGACTACTGATATACTTGCATGATGTATATTTTTTTATACCCGAAAAAGTTTGTTTTTCTCGTGCTAACGTAAATGCTTTGATGTTGGTGTGCGTGTGCAGTGTGATTGTTGAAGCTTTAAAGGTGGATAGTCTGCAAAAACTGTGTTCATCATTGGAGCCTATTCTTCGTAGAGTTGTAAGATTGTGAATTTTATTTTTTATTTGAAGCTCTTTTACTTGGTTCTTCCTCTCATTTTAAGGGTATTATCGTTACTTATATTGTTCGAACTCTTTATTTTTCGTGAAATATTGATGTTTGACACTTGAATTTGAGTCGAATAACATAAGTTATTATAATCTCATAAACACTCTTCTGGTCTCTGCAATATGACACACAGGTCAGTGAAGAAGTGGAACGTGCTCTAGCAAAACTAGGCCCTCCCAAGCTTAATGCTAAGTATGAACTTTTCTTTGACCATTGCTTAAAAATCTTGTTTTTTTACTTAATAATGTGACTTATCATGACTAAATTTTAAATTTAAACATACAGAAGGGACTAAAACTATAATTGACCTTTGGATTTTTTTTCATCGTTGTTATTGTAACACTAACGCCAGGATGCAGGTCGTCTCTTCCCCTAAACGGATAAAAGGCCATGATGGGAGAAATCTGCAGCTGCAATTTAAATCAAGGTTGTCCCTCCCTCTATTTACAGGAGGGAAAGTGGAAGGAGAACAAGGTGGTGCTATCCACGTTGTCTTGATTGACGCAGACACCGGTCATGTTGTCACTCGTGGTCCAGAGTCCTCTGCCAAACTCGATGTCGTCGTCCTCGAGGGTGATTTCAACAACGAAGACGACGATAACTGGACTCAAGAAGAATTCGACAGCCATGCCGTGAAGGAGCGTGAAGGGAAAAGGCCGCTACTAACCGGTGATCTGCAGGTATGACGTTGGACTCTTGAGTTTTTCGTGTTTGATTTATTCTATTTGATCTTGTACTAATTATATTTTTACGATTACAAATTTCTAACAGGTGATTCTGAAGGATGGTACGGCAACATTGGGAGAGCTTACGTTCACCGATAACTCGAGCTGGATAAGGAGTAGGAAATTCAGACTCGGGTTGAAGGTTGCTTCGGATTCTTGCGATGGTGTCCGTATTCGCGAAGCGAAAACGGATGCCTTCACAGTCAAGGACCACCGAGGAGAATGTATGTTCTTTCAAGTTATTTGATGGTGATAATAGACTTAACTTTTTGGTTACTTGAGAGCCACTAAATCATTTGCCTTTTTCAGTGTACAAGAAACATTATCCACCAGCACTACATGATGAAGTGTGGAGATTGGAGAAGATTGGCAAAGATGGGTCATTTCACAAGAGGCTTAACAAAGCTGGGATTTTCACAGTTGAAGATTTTCTAAGACTTGTGGCTAGGGACTCACAGAGACTGAGAAATGTAAGAATTTTGGTTCTATCGGTAGTCCCTATACTATTCGTAAATTGTAGATTTAGTCATTGTACTCTAGCCAGAAGGGTCAAATGCTACTATTTGGATTAGGATTGAATCGGAATTATGTTTTGTTCTTTCAATGACATGTATATGTGTTTTTTTTACACATTTCTTCATTTCTTGTAGATTCTTGGGAGTGGAATGTCTAACAAGATGTGGGATGTTTTGTTGGAGCATGCAAGGACTTGTGTTCTAAGTGGGAAACTCTATGTTTATTACCCTGATAGTGTGAGGAGTGTTGGCATAGTGTTCAACAATATCCATGAGTTGAGTGGCCTAACTGCAAATGGACAATACTATGCAGCAGATTCACTTTCGGACAATCAGAAGGTCGAACTTCAACTCCACCTGATTAACCCGAACTCAAATCAGATCCATCCCCGATTCGGTTATAAAAAGTCGACAATCGAAATTCAGTTGACCCGAGCTTCCAATGGTTATGTTTTTGCAGGTTTATGTGGATGGCTTGGTAAAGAAGGCATATGAAAATTGGATGCATGTTATAGAGTATGATGGTAAATCTCTACAATACAGTAACGAAGATGATAATGGAGGTGCTTCACAATCTAATGTTTTGATGGATCCGCAAGGTTATCCAAGTTCAATAGACCAGCACCAGGTTCCCCCGAGCCTGTCAGTTCTGGGCCCTTCGGAGTATCCTCTAATGGATTCCGGTCTAAATGTCGGAGGTATGACTTGGTATGTCCAAATTGATAACATCGTTGATTAAAGTGATAATGTGTATTTCTTTTACTGTGTTTATCTCTTTAGATTATGAAGCTTCCATGGTCCATCTCAATGCTCAGACTCAGTTAAATGTTAATGAGCTAGCACGTGGTCCATCTCAGTCATCCATGCCTAGTTTCCATGGTGTCACCAGGCCTAACATTCCAACGTACAAGCCGCCGGCTCTCGATGATTTCTTGTCAGAGGAGGAGATCGGAATGAGAAGTAATGAGATAGTCGAGGAGACGCAGCATCTTCTACGTATCTTTAACATGGGAAACCATGGCCATGCTACATTCAATCCGTCTGAAGATGGTTATCCTTACGCATCGGCACACATGCCGAGCTCGTGTCCGAATTACGGTTTCAACAACGAAGCTTCGAGTTCATCGGGGAAAGCTGTGGTGGGGTGGCTGAAGCTCAAAGCAGCCCTTAGATGGGGAATCTTCACTCGGCAAAAGATGGCCGAAAGGCGGGCACACCTCGTTGAGTTGGATGATCCATAGGCAAGTTGTTTGGATATGGTGTTAGAATCATGTACATCTCGGGGCCTGGTACTAATCTAACCAGATTGAGAATGCACAAAAACTCATTCGGTCAAGCTCGATTCATTTACAGCGTTACGAGCCCTCATAACAACACTGCGACAACATTTCTCGGTACAGTATTCTTCTGCCGTAGCTAGTGTTTCTAGGTGGTGTCGTAACAAAGGAGACGTGAAAAGTAGTAATAGATGTATTTCTATTCCGTCGAGATGTAACATAAAAAAGGGTCGTATTCTGAAGAAAGTCCTTGTACTATGTATTTTCGTGGATTTAGTCCCATTATTGAAGCATTTATTTTCAATCATGAGACCAATTTTCTAACACATCATCGCTGTGTAATCGAATTATTTGATAAAATTAGCCCAAAAAGTCAAAAGATTAAATAATAATGAAGGAACTAAATCCTCTGAAAACACATAATGTAGAGAAGTTCATTACAATTTGCCCTTACAAAAGTTAAGGATAAAGTAATTTGTAGTCCTTAAATTTAGTATTTTTTCAATTTAATCTCTAAACTTAAATTTTTATTCATTTAAATGATATGGTATTCTGAATTGTGCCGTGTGTCAAAATGATTAAAGAAATGGGAACCACTACGAAGTTTAGGGACTAAAATGGACATAAAGTAATTCATGAACCAAATTACAAAGTATTGGATAAACATACTGGAAATGTGTTTTAATTTTAGCGTAGAACGTTTTCTTTGTGTTATAATAATGGCTCAGGGGGGTGAATATGATTGAATTGTCAGTTTCAGGGGCTTACAAGAGAAATAAAGCATTCATGTAGGTGCAATGCATATTATATATGCCGGATATCATATCACAGATAATATGGTACCTGCAGCATGAGGAATCTATTAGTTTCTCTGTTCCATTCCTCGCTCTCTGCTTTTTCCATGAAAAAACACGAGGAGATAATGACTCTCCTTGTCCTGTGGGTTGAAGCCTGAAATCCAACATGTGGATTACATAACTTGATGTTCTTGCCAAAATATCATATATTTTCTTTTAGATTGGAGGGAAAATCAACATAATATAGTTTAACAAAGAATACAACAGTTAGGGAGGGATCAGTCATTCAGTATCTGAAACATCATCTTCATCTTCATCCATTATGTAGACCAAGGCACGCTTCCTTGCAGCAAAAACACAAGCTACACCTCTTGATGCTGTTACAGTAAATCCGCATATAAACGACCAGAAGATATGAGCAGGATAAATATAATATAGGATGGTGGTAGGATGCGTTAATTCGAAAACTTACCGCTAACCGCCAGAGGAGCAACTACAGAGTGTGGGATATTCCGAACCTTTTCATTCTCCGGTTGTAGGTGCATAACCGAGTCCTATAAATGCAAATAGATTAAACTAAAATCAATATGCTCTCACATAAATGACAAGAATGATGGCTGTTATTGATGAAAGAGACGGCGATGAATATGAGGTAATGAAGAAGGTAAGTAAGGTAGTCTTTTAGTTCATAGAGTTAAGACTGAGGTTATCAAAACATGTAAAAGCTACAAATCTATCAGAGTTCGCAATGCAATTGAATAAATTCGTTTGAATAGTCGGGGTAACTACTAACCGGAGTTCACACACATGTAAAAATATGTACCAATTTTGTAGTGATATCGAGCAGCAGAAACAATCAAATTACAGGCCCAACAAAGTGTGGTACGATCTGTCAAAAATAAACAATTTACCTTTAGCTGATCTAGGTTCCAGGTGTTTACACAACTGGATCTTGGAATGGACAGAAATGGGAGTTCATTAGCTTGGACGATCATCATACAAGATTCTCCAGAGCTTTCAGAAGCATCAGTGGTTTCGTTCAATAGCAAAACAATTTGACCATCCTGTATTTGGAAATTTTAAGTAAAAAAAAGGGGGGAAGCGAGATAGAAAACATCCCAAAAGACTTGTTCTAACAAACCCAAAGGTTGAATCACTGAAAAAGATAGTTTAACAGGAAAAACAAATTTCAGTGACATAGAGGTTATAAACTAAAAAGGTAATTTTTCACCTTATATAACGATAGATCTACACAGTGATAACCATCAGGAACTGACAGTAAGATAGCTTCCAAAGATGCAGATTCCTCAATACGATTGCTCAAACTATGCATGAATCCTCTTGATATGCCTATACAATTAGCGATATTTGAGGAAGAGTCACCAGGGATTTGGAAAGAAATATAATCAATAAACCCATGTTCAGGAGTCTGATATGACGAGATAGCAGCGGAGGCATCCTACAGAGAAAAAGAGAAAACATCACAATTCGGACGAATAAGTATTCCAAAAGATAAGAAAACCAGACTTGTACCAATATTAGGGATAACGATATGAAATGTATAGAATTTGCAACATATATAGAAAAAAATAAATGTATGACCACATTTAGAGATTTTAAGAGGACAAAAGGGCAGGCAGGAATTACCTTGTAGTAGGTTACAGACATAGGGACCGTGAAAGATACAGATGCAGGTGAATATGGAAGAGCGAACAGTGGTAGCACATCCTTGCAAAGCATCTTCCTCGAAATTGTAGTAAAAGGCATCAGGAAAGCCTCCTTGAAACTGAAATTGCACAACCATTGATAATGCAAATTACAGTTTGAAGTATAACCGAAAGGCGATACATATGGAATGAAGATGGAAGGACAAACTAATGAAGATGGAAGGACAAACTAATGCATGCCTTTAACAATGATAAAATCTCTGAAAATATAATTTCGCAATTGAAGACAGAGACCGTGGAAAGCAAAAGGAAAGGATACCTAATCTCCATCTGTTTAAATTCTTCAGCTAATGTCCTCCTCAGATATTCACAATCAGAAAATCCTCCAAAATGAACCAATTCTCTAACTCTTTGCACTGTTTCCCTGGAGGATAGAGAGCAGCAGAATCTTTTTAGGATAAACAATGACACTGATGCACACAAAAAAATCTATCAGATAAATAGTACATTTTCATGCATGCCACATATAGATACAATTAAATTCACACTAACACTCATTGAAGGAGAATTATTCCCTGTATGCAACTTGAAGAGTACAAAATTGAAGTTATTTATTTCCATGTTAAAGCCTAAATCAGCAGATTCAGCATCATTACAATTTAACCGATAAAAAGTCTTTTTTTCCCTGTAGGTAAAGATGTGTTCTGACACTATAATTCGTGAACAGATAGATGTATGATATATGAATAGTCACGCTGTGTGACACACTATGTGTATGCTTAATTAAAAAGCAATATGCATTAATCTTGTTTGATGACATACTAAAGCAACATAAACTGAAATGCACCATTAGACCCAATGACGGTTGACAGGATAACTTACATTTCAGTTTCGATATCAGCTTCAGACAGCTCCAGAAAGGGCCTGACAGGATCTTGATCATATAAGAACTTCAAGAATATAACAAGTTCGCTGTCAAAAGAAAAAAATGTGAGACTACAAAATTAAAGATAATCAAGAGAGGCAAATAGAAAGATATTGGAGAAACAAACCTGATATAAGGTAGAAGTTGATCACTTGGCTCTTGCATAAGTAGCTTTATGCACTTCAGCAACCAGTTAAAGAAGTTTGAAAACTGAAAGTATGGACTGATATAAGAACTCAAACAGAAGAAAAACACAATTCTAGGAGACGGAAGAAAATAGACCATTTTCATTCCATTCAGTGTGAGACATGTGGGGGGATTAAGAATGAAGGAAGAAGGACCAAAAGAACTTCAAATATTAAGGTTTACCACCTGCTGTACCACAGAGGAAAGCACCCTCATAAATCTCTCAAGTTGTGATAATAATATTCCAGATTTTTCTGTTGCATTATTGATAAGAGTCTCGTCCAGGCCAATACCCTGAAATCGAGTGCGCCATCTAGAAAGACCTCTAAGTTCTCCCATCCTGAAGCAAATAATTTCTGCAGCAGGCTGGAAAATGTATATTTATTTTCAGCTGGATCACATCAGGACAAGCACTCACAATACAACATTTATTAGCAAGTAAATGAAAAGCAGTACCTAAATCGAGATTCCATTTGTAAAAATGAAACATAGTATATACGCGGTAAAATAAAATGCTACACTCTGGTTTAGTAAAGGAGTACAACAAGGAGCCATCATGTTTAGCGATATATATATTTTAACATATCCTTGCCCTAAAGGAAATCACTAAGCTAATAGTTATTCAACAAAATCACAATTATTCATTAGATTAGGAATGTAGGTAGCAAAACCCCTGAATTAAGCATTTAACCAGAAGGGCTATAAACAAATAGCTTGTGCAACAAAAATGGGAGCTAGAAATAAGAATTCATATGCAAATTACAAATGCCACAGCCTTTGTTGAAAGTCGACTTTCATTTATGCACCCCATGAAATCCACCTAATAACAATAATATGTTCCATGATATGATATTAAATCAGCAAGCAAAAGATTCTTCTGCAAAGTAAATATTGTGTGAATCGCACAGAAAAGTTTAACCAAGCACCTGAAGATGATCAAGGACAACATGCTGCAGCTCTTTTCCAGCACCACAAATGACCATTGACACACGCTTAACTCCCTATTTAGTAAGAAACCCCTTGTATAAATTATGCAAACTAATTTCCTTAGGAAAAGGAGTGAAATGATTAGATAATGCATAGTTACCAATTCACCCAGAGAGTTAACTAGAAACTGATGAACTGGCGGGCTAGTCCGGGCACCACCTAGGAGGCTCAGAAACTCCTCTTGGGGTGATGAATCAAGCCCTATATGCATGTGATAGAAATCAACAAATGGATATGCAGAAAAAATGGAAAATAAAATTATAGTGCTCCAATTAGAAAGTTACCATGGTCCATTATTAACCTAGATAGAGAATCAAACTTCTCATGGAAAGTGAGCATGGCATCTTTCCACTGCTTAGACATTACTGATAATGATGTGCGAATAACTTCAATTAAATCCTCAATGTTAGAAGCTTGTTGGGCAATTTGACGGAGTTCACTTTTCCTTCAATAAGAAAGCAGGTCATGAAAAGGATCAAGGAATAAAGAATATTCATGGTTTATAGATACGAGACCAGTTAAAACTGTGAGCAAATACTACTAAATACCATTGAAAATAGCTTAACTGAAGATAAATATATCACTGCAAAATGTGATACCTAAAAATATACAAACAAACTGCAGGTATTCTAGGTTCTCCAGAAAAATTACCTCTTCCAAAAGATGGAACTATCGAGCAGTAAGCAATGAAAACCATGCATACCCAGCTGTCTCTCGGCTGATTCAACCCCATCATGATTAAGTTCTCCAGAACACATTACTATCAGATGACGAAGGTCTTTTGACAATGCAACCTAACAAAAAAATAGGAACGCCAGATAAGTCTACTACATCTTGACCTGTAAACAAAGCACTAAGCACTGAAATAAACTAAATAGATTTTACTTTCGTATGGGAAATATTCTTTTAATATAAGTTAGCATGAATTACCCAGTTGCATGACCTTTAAACCAGAAAAGCACTACCTTACAAGCTTGTCTAGTTTATAGGCATAAAAGAATAATAAAAAAGGAATGAAGTCTCGGATGTGCATACCTTGGAAATTGAAGCATGTGAAAGTCTGTATGTAGTTGGCTCAGTTGCGAAGGAAATAGGAATAGACAAATTGTGTATGTTCTGGCAAATAATTTCAAGTGCAAAATCATAATCAAAATATAGATTGTGCATGAAATAATATGGCTATCTCTGAACCATGAATAACAATCCAGGATGTCTAATATTTTAGGAGAGAAATATAAGTGATTTTGCAATGTCCATGAAAATATAAGTAAAATAACATAAGGGTATTAATTTGATATATCAAAGCCATAAAATTAACTTTCTGTCAATAATGTAAATCAGTTAATCAATACAATCCATAAAGTAACTTTCAAGATAGAAAAGTAGCTTCCTATTTTCCCTATATGAAATATTCCAAATATACTAAAGCATATGCTTCCATCTTTGTCACCGCTACATAAAATGTTAAACCGTTGGTATGAGGAATTTGAAAGCTCACGAAATGAATCTTCACTATCATCCATGAAGCCGGTATCTCCAGGTGCCAATCCAGGCATCCGAGGAACTCTTGGAGCAGGAGGGAAGAAACAAGATGTGCGGTCCTCATATGATGAACTGTTAACAGAATCATCCTATAACAAAAGCAATTTGTGACTTATCAGGAAGTTAAAATGTCAAATATTTATATGAACCCAAAGAAGGATAACAAACTTGACAGATGTTGAAGAAAAGTTTATCTTGTGCAAGATATTTACAGGTCAAAGTTTTAAAATAGATTTAGATATTTCAACCCAGAAGACAAAGGCATACTTTAATCGCTTGTCCGTCCTCCTCCCAATTAAGGGACACGACAGCAACATTATGAGACTTTAAGCTTCTCAACAACTTTCCATTCTGCAAGAGATGCAAAATATCAGTTAGATGAACAAATTTTGTTGTATAATCATGTGCAACAACAATCTAACCTCAAGAAGATACTAAACATAGATCAGAATTAAGAACAAAATCGATGATTATGATTATCCCCAAGGAAGAGGGAGAAACCAAAACAAGCAAGGGAGCCTAAAATTTAACTAAATAATAAAAAGGCAAACTCACTTCAACATCATGCAATGAAATTGTGCCATCCTCGAGCCCGACTGCTATTGCTTTACCATCCGGACGCCAACATAAGGATGTAATGCACCTTCCTGTAAAGCAACAAATCAATAAATATAATTATTGAAACAATGGAATCACTTGAATCAAATCCAACAGATTATAAAAAATAATTTCCACGAATTACCAGGAAAAATTGTCCAGAGTCTTTGCCAGTTGAAGCGATGCAGCAAAATCTTGGAGTCCTCAGTAACCATAGCCAGTAAATCTTTCTCCGGATTCCATTCCGCAAATTTAATCTAATCAACAAAAAATTGGAAAAGAAAAAGGACACGCGTAATCATGGATATTTAGATAAGATCGAATTAAAGAAAAAGAGACGAAAATGAAATAGTAAAGAGTGATGGAAATAAACCTGAGAGGCAACTGGTTTGTCGAATTGAAGTTGAAAGGGAAGCACGCGCGGCGTTTCATCGGTTTCCATCGCTTAAAATGAATCTTAAGACAGCTTTTCCCACTAAATTTTCTCCAGTGGGCTTAAAATCGCTACGAGGAAGTCACTAACACTGAGAGGCGAGCATGGGGTTTAAGGGTTTTTAGTTGAGGGAAAAAGGGATACAGACAGAAGAAAGCGCAAAACAATTTAAAAATATAAAGCAACGTTACCGAGAATCGAACCCGGGCACCGTGTTCTTACATTAAAATCTAACCATTATACTCCAATGAAGTACATTCGATTAAGTTTTAGTTTTAACTAAATTAATCTATCAAACTAAATTAGTTCGAGAAAATGGTCGATCATCGAATTATATTGATAAAAAAATAGTTAATTTTTTTAATATATTATTAACGATTAATTTAATTTTAAATTAATTAATTTATTTGTTATATATATTAAACATATTTTAAGTTAAAATCCATTAAAATTAAGACTCAATTATTTTTTAATCATATTAAATTCATTAAATTATGAAGACCTAATTAAATTTAAACTCAAATAAAAACAATGTCTCTATCCAACTCAAGTAGGTAAAGAAATTAGGTCTCATATTTGAGCATCAAAAATATCATGGATGTAATGTTTATTGTCAAATGGTTGAGAGCACTGGATGAACATCATGGGGCTAAGAGGAGCCTTGACCCTCGATAATTATTTTTTTAATATTAATTAATATTAAAAAATATGTATTTTTAAAATTAAATAAATAAAATTTTACTAGGCCTCCTTAATTTTAATAAATTAAAATAAATTTAACTTCTCATCAAATCAAATGGTGTTATGTGTCACTAGTATCAAATGTAATGACATGTGTCACTATCTGATTGGATGATTAAATTTATTTTTAATTTAATATATTTTTCTCACCAATAAGAGGATGACAAGTAGCAGGAAAGAAATTTGAACACTTAGGTGGCATTTGGTTCGCAGGAATCCCTTGGAATTAGGGGGAATTGGAATCCAATTCTACTACTTTCCCATATTTGGTTCAAGTTTTCCAAGAGAATTGGAATCCCTCATGACTTCAACTTTCCATCAAATGAGGGAAAATGAATTTCATCCATTCTACGATGGAATTCAATTCCCTTGTTGGATGGAATTGAAATTTGATCATACTACCCTCATCAATCTTTTAGTAACTTATTCATATATTGAATAAAAATATTTTTTATTATTTCGGGTCGGGTTTCTAATTCATATATTCGGGTCAGGTTGGGTGAAACTTTATTTTGGTCGGGTCGGGTCAGTTTTTTTAAGTGTGATATTTGGGTCGAGTTCGGGTTTAGGGTGAAAAATACCCGACCCGACCCAAAAATATATATAATTTTACCTTATATATTTAGGAATAATTACAATAATACCCCTCTATATATAATTTTTTTCAATTATATTGAATAAAAATAATTTTTTTATTATTTTGGGTCGGGTCGGGTTTCTAATTTATATATTCGGGTCGGGTGAAACTTTATTTTGGTCGGGTCGATTTTTTTTAAGTGTGATATTCAGGTCGGGTCGGGTTCGGGTTTAGGGTGAAAAATACCCAACCTGACCCAACCCAAGAAAATATAATTTTACCTTATATATTTAGGAATAATTACAATAATACCTCTCTATATATAATTTTTTTCAATTAAGTCACTGTTTTTATTGAATAAAAATATTTTTTTATTTCGGGTCGGGTTTCTAATTCATATATTCGGGTCGGGTCGGGTGAAACTTTATTTTGGACGGGTCGAGTCTCGGATGGAGGTTCTTTTGTTCTCAGGTCGTGTCGGGTAGACCAAAAATCCAACTCAACCCGACCTATGGCCATCCCTAATTGGGATGATTTTAACTTATGGTTTTATTAGCATGATTTTTTATAATTTATTGAATTGAATAATCAATCAATAAAATTAAAATTTAATATTTTTTAAATTTTTATAATATATTGCTACATGTAATTTATAAAACAAACTAAAATTAAGAAGAAAAAAAACAAGAAGGACAATCATGTCATTTTACATTACTGAAATCAAATTCATCTGACATGTCTGCGAACCAAACAAAATATGAAATTAGATTCCAATTCAATTTTCTGCCAACCAAACAGAATATGAAATTGGATTTCAATTCCTGACATATTCCAATTCTTTCACAGATTCCAATTTCCTCATAAACATTTTACCGAACCAAACATCACCTTAATGATACCCCATGAGAATTGAACCTAGGTTAAAGAAGCAAGGCTCAACCATTTAGCCAAATTGATTAATTCGTTCTGTTTATAGATTTTCCCCCTTTCTGGATCCCTTTCCGGAAAACTACACTTTTTAAGTCCCCTTTACCCCGAGTTTGATTCGGATTATTAAAAAACTTTCGGACTTTTCCGGTTATGGAAAGCAGTTCGTACAGAGTATGCCGTAATTCGTCATTGAAGTTGGACCACGTAAGTGTGAACGAAGAAGAAGATTTAGGGTTTGGGTTCGTTAGATACTCACACGGATTTGGGCGGAAAAGGGTTGGATCTTTGCCTCTCGTTTTTTCGACCAATTCTTCGTTATTAAAAAGGCAATGCAGTGAGAGACGATGACGATCGATGATTATAATCGAAAAGCAGCCATTGAATCACTTCCACAAGATGTTCTCGTAAGCACTGAAAACCCCCAAAGTTTCTGTTTATGGAATCTGGGTTGGTGATTGGAATGAAATTTTAACCTTTTTTTTTGGTTGCAAATTAGGGTTATTTATGGTGTGGATCATGATGATTTGAAGCAACTGTTTAATATCTCTAAATCAATCAGAGAAGCTGTGAGTACATTAATGCATAGTTTAATTCGGATTATACACAATTTTTTGCTTGATTTTGATTTTTGACAATGTTTTGCAGACTGTGATTGCAAAGAAGTTGCATTTCGCCTATAGGACACCAACAAAGGTGAAGCCTTTTAGAACATCGCTCTATTCGGAATTCGACGGCTTGAGTACCGTGGCTTGGTGGGTATTTATACCCACCACTGATGCTATCTGTTCCGCCCTCCACGGGCTATTTCTGGTGATGACGGGGTCGTTCCCGTACCCTTCGGGCCTATCATTGCTTCACGTGGCCGGGAATCCAGGGATGGTGCAGTCCCGGTTTTCCCGGCCGGCCGGTTCTCCTCTTTGACTGGGTAACTCCCCATGCGGCACCTGTTGCTTGAATGTGTAAACCCTAATTTGTAGGGTTTGGGCTGGTTCAGGCCTCAAACATATTGGACCCAAACAGTGGACTTCTCTTAGACCCAATCTTTGGACCTGAACCATAAAACAGAATAAATGAAATTAAATGAATAAAGTGAATAAAATGAAAAGAAATAATAAAAATACTAATAATAATATAGACTATATAATATATATATATCTCAAAAAATATTTTTTAAACTATATATTATATTTAAAAATGTTTTCAAAACTATATACCATATAGTTTTCAAAAATGATTTTAAAAATATTATATGAGTTTTCCAAAATATTTTTAAAACTATATATTATATAAAATTTTCAAAAATGTTTTTTTAAACTATACATTATATTTTCAAAATGATTTCAAAAATATATGTTATATAATTTTCAAAATGTTTTAAAACTTATATATTGTATATAAGTTTTCAAAAACGTTTTTAAAAAAACTATATTATATATATATATTCAGAAACCATTTTTTTGTAAACTATATGTTATATTTTTCAAAAACACTTTCAAAAATTATACTATATTATCGTATATATGCCTATAATAAATAAAAATAAAAAACTCAAATTCGGGTGAAAATGAGTGTCTACAGCTGCTCCTCTTTGTCCTTTTTCGTGGAACGAAAAATAGGACAAAGATAAAAAGACACAAATTTTCGCTCGGTAGAGTTGAAGAATAACTCCCTGTCGAATTGGGTTGCAGATGGCTCCTTCGTCGTGAAGTCGAGTCCACCTTGAAATGATATAGAATTGAAGCCGCAGTTCGGGATTTGAATCGGGATGTGGCTTCTCGTTGTAGTCCGCCTCGGTCTTTTCCTCGGTTTAAAGACTCTGGTTGGAAATTCGACTGGAAAGTAGTTCATTGACTCTATCATGTGGTTGATAGACCCTCAAGCTGAACGAACTCGAACTCGAAAGGTCTTTGTTGACAGATAGCTTTTCTCGACTTAAGCTATACTGCAAATGATGTGCCTTGGAGTTAAGCGTAGTCGAACTCGAAGGTCTTTGGTTGGCAGACAACCCTTCTAGATTCAAGTTGTGCTGCAAATGATATGCCTTGGAGCTGAGCGTAGTCGAACTCGAAGATCTTTTGGTCACATATAACCCTTCTAGCCTTGAGTTATGCTGTAAATGATGTGCCCTCGAAGCTGAGTGTAATCGAACTCGGGGGTCTTTGGCAGATAGCCCTTCTCGACCTAAGCTATACTGCAAATGATGTGCCGTTGAGCTGAGCGTAGTCGAACTCAAAGGTCTTTTGTTGGCAGACAACCCTTCTTTGAGTTGGATATCCTTCGACGCGAGGTTGAAATCCAATCTAAATATGGATGATGCTTGTGTGCACGATTCCCTTCGTCGTGAGATTGAAACCGCGGGTGGCCCCTTCATCGTGAAGTTGAGCCTGGAATTGGATATCCTTCCAAATAAGTAGCATTGTTCCGAGTCCAATTTTCTTCTGTCGTGAAGTTGAAATTAGCTATGGAACCCGGAAATTGTTTGTTGACAATCAGTCGTCCCTTCGTTGTGAAGTTGAACATGCATTGTCTGGAGTCCCATATCCTTCGCTGTGAAGTTGAAATTGGCTCTGAAATTGAGAAGTTGTTTGTTGACAACCAGCGGTCCCTTCGTCGTGAAGTTGAACATGCGTTGTCTGGAGTCCAATACCCTTCGCTGTGAAGTTGAAATTGGCTCTGAAATTGGGAAGTTGTTTATTGACAACCAGCGGTCCCTTCGTCGTGAAGTTGAACTTGCGTTGTCTGGAGTCCAATATCCTTCGTTGTGAAGTTGAAATTGGCTCTAAAATTGAGAAGTTGTTTGTTGACAACCAGCGGTCCCTTCGTCGTGAAGTTGA